TCCGTTAACTTACTATTCGAAATTCGGTTAACTAAAAATTTGAAGGAAGCCCAAACACTTTAAAAACTTTGAAGTTACAAAAAACTTAGTCAAAATAAAGCTAAATAACTTTTTTTTACAGTGTGTAACGGTTTCATTTTTAGAGATACAAGGTTTTATTACCTCAGTAACAGCATGTAGGAGGCTTTCCCTGGAGGTTTTTCCTCCATCAATTTAACTTTTGCAAGTGCTGCCCATGTGTTCAGTTAAACAATTGTGGCTTGAGGAGTTTGAGCAAAAAACAACTTGGCTGGAGTTCTTCTGCTTTGCATTAGAAGACTGTACCCCCCTTGCTGAAGATCCGAGAGTGCGGTGCGAGAGTCATGGAGAACATGGAGGAGACAGGGAGGTAGCAGATTACAAAAACCCATCACAGAGAAGAGTAGTGGTGGGTAGGGAATATATTAGCTAGCAGGGAGGAGTTCTCAGACACATCTTCCTCCCAGACTTCATTTGCACACTTTGTTCAGCGCAGTCGGAGCTGAGGCATAGCTGTTTGGACTGCAGAACAAGCCTGTCAAGGGAGAGGCATGTGTGTGCGTGTGAACACATGGGAGAGTGCATGTGTATGAGCACGTGCACAACTGCTCATACACAAAGTGTGTGACTGTGTGTCTGCTGACCTAAGAAACAGGAGAAAGAAATAGTGAAAAAAGGGTGTCAGAAGACTTTATCAGTCACTCTAACCACAAGTGAAGTGTAAATGATTGGGTGTTTTTGAGGATTCAGAGCTGTATATGTGTGAGGAGGAAAAACAGTGTTATATGTTGTCAGTATATTGCAAAATTAAAAATAGAATATATGGCAGTATATTTTAAATATAGAGGAAAAGCCTCCAAAAGGGCCATGCATATTATAAGCCCACCAGTTTTAATGTGAAATATTTAAAAAATGTGAGTAGTTATCAAAGTGTATTAGACGGTTTGTCTAGTAAACACACTTTAATCTTCTTTGTCTGTTGATGTGAGTTCTGAGCCAATATAATTCAAAGCAAACTTTTATTTTAAGGGTGGATTTGAACAGAAACATTTTTCAAAATTCTGTGGGACAAACAAGGAAAATGTTAATAATATTGACAAAGTATTGAAATTAATGAATAATTGATTACCTACAGTGGTACTAGATAATGTGATCCCAATAAAACAAATAACACAAACAATTGTGTAGTTTTTCCATTCATTTATTGAACAAGATGATCCAACATTACAAGTCTTTGTTGGTATAGGGGACAATTAAGGTCAGGAGAATTAAGTGTGAGGGTTGGTGACCCTGCCCTATTTATAAAATATCAACCTGAGCCTTCACTGTCAAGGTCTGGTTTTCACCACATTTATGAGTGCGAAACATGCCTTATTGAAATAATATTCTGAGGACCTCAGATAAAGACCTGTCAACGCTCATCAGGCTGGAACAGGCTGGAGGTAACAAAACATTTTCTGAAGTTTGGGCTTCAGTAATCAACTGTCAAACAAAGAAGATTCAACGCCATAGTTAGCCTCCCAAGTAGTAGTGGTCCAGCAAAAATCACTTCATTTCTACGAGAAGAAAAGGAACCCCAGGGCAACATCTAAAAATTTGCAGGCCTCTGTTGCACTGGCTAATGTCAGTGTTTAAGAGTCCACTATCAGGTAAACACTGCACAAGAATAGTGTGTATGAAAGGGAGCAAGCTACTACAGATTGAACATTTCTGAGCAAGAATACTACTAAAAGAATCTGGACTGATGATGAGGCAAAAATAAATTGTATGGCTTAAATGACAAATGTTGTGTTTGCAGAAAGCTGAGCAGTACATTGCAGCATACGAACCTCAATCCAACTGTGAAACATGGTGGTGGTAGTAGCATGGTTTGGGGCTGTTTTGCAGCCATTGGACCAGGACAGTTTGCTTTTTCTTGATGATAAAATGAATTCTGGATTGTGTCAGAAGACTCTACAGGAGAATATCAGGGCATCCGTCTGTGAGCTGAAGCTCAACAGAAGCTGGGTCTTACATCTAGACAACAGCCCTAAACACACAGATCAGTCTACCAAAAGATGGTTGAAGCAGAAGAAATTTCATGTTTTGGAATGCCTAAATCAAAGTCCAGACCTTAATCCAATAAAAATGTTGTGACAGTTCCTGATGTGTGGCATTCATGCAAGAAAGCCCACCAGTGGGAGAACAATGAGTCAATGAGCCAGGCTGAAACATTTAATTGAAGTCACACTGCTTACAGAGCAAAAGTTCACATACTTTTATCAACAAAGACTTTTAATATCGGATCACTGTGTTGAGTAAATTAATGGAAAAAATATATAATTGCTTTTGTTACTTGTTTTATTGAGTTCTCTTCATCTAATATGTATCTATGAAGTATAATAATCTGATTACATTTTAGTTCAGATTTAAATAGAAACTCTTATTCTAAAGGGTTTACAAACATTCTAGCGCCACAGTATTGACATAATCTTAAAATTGAGCTTTTTTTCTGAAATAAAACAACTGGACTTATTGAGAGCACCAGTAGACTTAAAGGTTACAAGTGGCTGCAATAAGTCCAGCCCAGACCTTTAATCTTTTCTGTTTTTTATTCCAATATATTTCATTAAATTATGAAATATATCACTCAAATTTGAAAAGTCCTTACTGGGGGCTTTTCACTTATTGGCCTTTTTTCTAGGGGCAGTTTGCAAAATATAATAACAGTGTGAGTAAGAAGGAGATCTATGGCCTCGCACACTGCACCATGGTGCGGTTTCTCTCTGTACAGATTACAGACAGCAGTTAGGCTGACTTTTTCTGATTATCTCCTGCAGAAGCGGCTGTGGCACCGCGTTTGTTCTCCCGAGAAATTATGATAACAAAAGTCACCCCTAGCGTCGCTCACACATTCATATCATCCACGCTTCAATTTGAGTCTCCATGGAAACTGGTACAACTTAGTGGCGGGTGATGCGTAATGATGTTGGTCTCGCCACCAGAGGCAAGGCAGACCGCAGAGAGAGCGAGAGAGAGAGAGAGAGAGAGAGAGAACGAGAGGAAGAGAGAGAGAGAGAGAGAGAGTGCGAGAGTCTTATTGACCCCAGGGACGCAGGGGTAAATATTCTAGTCAAAGCTCCTGTCTCTGAGGCAGCCTGCCTTTACCGTTGAGAGCAGAGAAAAGTGTCAAGTAGCCTGGTTTATACGTTCCTGTCTATTGTCCACATTGGAATATAGCAAGACAGCACTGCCCAGATTTCTGGGTTTCACCTCATCAAAGAGTTTATGAGGCGGATTCTCAGCGTGTGCATATGCTGCATAATTTTTACAGATATCTGCAAGGTGCCACCTGTCGAAATCTGCATTAGCCCCAAAACCCACCAGGTGGCAGGTGCTCCGTCTGCAAGAGACATCCGCACACATTAGTGTGTGTGTGTGTGTGTGTGTGTGTGTGCGTGTGTTGGTGTGCATGAGTGCAGTAGGGGGGGTGTTATGATGTCAAGGTGCTGTTGTGTTGATTGAGGAGCTGGAGAGGCAGCCTAATGATGTGGCTATGCTGGGTGCTCTGCACACCTGCCTAAGAGTGACTCATAAAGCTTCACTCTGAAAGCTCCCTCCTGCTTCCTCCAGCTCATCTGAAATATTAAACACTTTAAATGCTATTTCACATGCTGTGATTCTTTCACAGGCGTAGAAAAGGAGATGAAGTTTGTTAAAACATCATGAGGCACTTAACTAGTCCCTTCTCCTGAAGGGAATCTTGAAATGGTAACAGATTCTTGAAGATTCTTTGAAGTATGGTTTAAGATTATTGACATCCTTAAAAACATTTACAGTTCACAGTATCTAGATTAACCAACAGCATCACATTTAAAAAATAGTATCAAAAACTAGGAATACAATGATTTTTATTCAACGTCTAACATACTGCACTGAACTAAATCCAGTTGGACTGGGCTAATCATGCTCGCTTTGTAATGCCACATGCAGTTATTTTGATCAGTAGTGATGACATCTACGATATGCTCAGAAAAGCGTATTGTGACCTAATGTGGCGTAATTTACAGCACTAATGACAAATACTGCCATATTGCCTGCACTTACCTTTAAATGTCCATAGGTATCATATATTAAAACTTTTTGACCGCAGAGGCCAATATGTGGGCCCACACTTCAATTACTTGCTGTCATTTTTGCATCCCTTAAATATTAGTATCATAAAAGCTGGTACCACTTTGCAATAACACTACATTTGGAAAGGGTTATGAGTAGTTTAAAAATAGTTTATATGTTTGAAAATTAGATGATAAAGACTTACAACACCAAGATAAAAAGGGCAGTGGTGACCTGTTGCTTGCCAAATAGTCCATATTCATCTATACTGTTAAATCTCAGGTCTTACTCCACCAGCCAGCATTACACCTGTCAGCCACATCAGATATTTGTTGATAAGGTACTACATTCACATTCTAAGGTCTTAGCAATATTGTTTATCTTGGCATTTTCAGCATGCTATCTGTCATCATTCTTGTGATTGTCACAAGTAGTGGTAAGACACAAAAGTGGTACTCGTGTGATCCTTGGGGTGGCATCTTTAGGACAGCATTCCAGGGATGACACCATCCTTTACTGGGTCACTGCTTGCCCACTCTCAGATATTTGTGGCCTGCCTAAACCATCCTTGTTATCTGTTGTTCTTTGTGTTCTGTCTAAACCATCCTTGTTATCTGTTGTTCTTTGTGTTATTAGAAAATCAAGTGCTTTTCCTTTTTTGCAATTACTAAATGACAGATTTTAGGTTTTCTTGTTTGGTTTGATGTTTCTCTGCATCTCAAATGGTCTATGAGTATTTGTTAATGAATTATTGTACATAGTAGTTACTGAATTATACATCTTAAGATTAATAACCAAATAATATGCCTGCATTTTAAAGGGCCAATAAAGTAAATGCATGCCTGTACACACTTGTTCATCACTTGTGTTTGTTTTTGTTGATTCAGGTAACCAGCCTTCACCACTGGGATCAGTAGAGAGTTATAATCATGTGAAGAGGAGATGGGAGGCTGTGGCTCCACTCCCTAGCCCACGATGTTCTTGTACCTCCCTGCAGACCTCCAACATGCTGTTTGTCATCGGAGGGGTATCCCAGGGACCCAGTACCGCGGTGGAGGCCCTCTGTCTGCGAGAAAGTGTCTGACAGACACACGAACGCGTGCGCACCTATAAACAGACACAAATGCACCCAGTGCTGGACTCTCCTGGGACACAGACCAAACCGCAGAGTTCTCCCCCAATTGCCTGGCTGCTGGACTCAGACACAGGCTCTAGTGTTTCAAGTCTGTCCTTTCAACAAGGGGGACCTACAGGAGTCTAGACAGCAGCACACATATCTGGATGGATAGACTGTGTTGATGCTGGAGGTCTTAGACAAACTAGCAAAAAAAAAATCTCCACACAAACCTACACAGACAGAGGTTCAGTGGTGCAGACGCCTTTGATCTGTACAGTGTCTTTTCAGAATCAAAGCAGGGTACTTTTCTGGCTAAACTCAAAAGGAACTTAGGGCCATATCCACCACGCTGCCGCAGAGTTTGCCTGCAGTAGCACGTTTAGCACTTTTTCTATTACCTTAAAGGAAAAGGAGAGATGATGTGTGAGGATTTTTTTTGCAGGAGTGGAGGCGTATGCCTGTGTGTTTTTGTACCTTCACAGCCATGCATGTGTGAAATTCAGCACTGTTATTCTTAGAGCAGCGAAGAGCACTCCGCTAATGGTTAATAACCGATGCCTGCGCTGTAGCATGGGGTTCGGATTAGGGCGAGTGATGGAGATGGGTCGTGTCAAAATTAGTCAGCAAGTGTGCGACCAAGCTCAGTCCAAGCGATTACTGAGAAGTGTCAGAGCCCCACATAATGCATTTATGACTTCAAAGTTACCATATATAAAACAACCATTATACCGTCCAAATGAGCAGTTGGCATGACAACTGATGGTTGGTTTCAGTGAGCTGATTGGAAGGAACTTGTTTGAAGCAGTTTGCTGAAAGCCTACAACTAGTGCAGCAGTTAGCCAGCCGCACAGTGTTGCTGTCGTGCCATGTCTGTCCACACACTGAAAAATTGAGAACCATTTTCAAAGGCGCCATTGACAGCAGGACTGGTGACTGCTGCCAAGGGGATGCTACCTGGAGTTCAGAACAGAACAAAATCCCGTTAGGTAATCTTCACACGCACGGTTTTCACGTCCCCCTGCACGCCTACACACATGCACACACATAACATGCTTTACTGGCACTCTGCGGTTGCCCAGTGTCTCCGCCATAGATAATATGGCCATGGTTTGAGGTCAGAGTTTTCATCAAGGCTCTGCAATTAGGAGCTACAGTACTGTGCAAAAGTCAGAAACCACCCTTCATGTATTTCATTTCCAGAGTAAACAGCCGTTAGGTACAAATTATTGATTTTTCAACTCCAGAAAAAAAGCAGAAAACATAACATTATACAGCCTCAACAATTAAATATTATATCAAATTTTCCAGTATTTAGTGTGTCCACCCTTTGCCTATATTTTTATTATAAAAAAAAATATACTGTTGCTGACCTTTGGACAAACATGCTCGTAGTTACCAATGGACATGAAAGAATGGAGGAAGAAAAAGAAAAGAAAAAGGGCTGTTAAGGACTGTTCCTCAAGGTGACATATCAATAGCTGCTATATATGCCAAAACGTGTTTATTTTCTAAATTAAGTTGTACATCAGATCAGTGGCACTGTTGTAACCTGGCACAACCAAAAATCAATGGATGGAACCTGGTGAGTTGACCACAAAAGCAAAATAAATTTCTTGGCCAAAGACACAAATATAAAAACAATGCTTTGTTTTATAATGAATACATATACAGATTCCATATAAACATTTAATATATGACTTAGCATCTCGCCAACCTAGGAGTATGTTAAAGACTACAAAGCTCTCTGAGAGGCGCCGTAGCTCATGGAAATCATGTATGAATGGCAATTACACCAGCATATTCTAATTATTACTTTTAGCATCATCAGACACTTATTAACTGATTGGTAACTACTCTGATATCACATTTTCACCATAAGACCCAAAACATACTTCATGCAAGAAGGCAAACACAGACGCTTTGAACTACACAGACTGGGTTTCACGTGTAGTTGCACTGAAAAATATCACAACCAATTTTATAATTTAATTCAATTTAATTTATTTAATTCAAAGCAAAGATGGCTTACGTAAACATAAAGAATATGATACATTATCACCTTTCCATTCCGACAGAAAAGGTAAAGCAGCTCACGCTCCTCTACTTGTCCACGTTTAGCTGTTGAGGCTGTTGGAATAACAGTACTTCCCTCTCTGATCTGTCCTCTATCACCCCCTTCAGTACTGAGTGTTTTAACCACCACAGCAACATAAGAATGCTCAGTGAGTTTGTACAGAAGGACCGAGCGTTTGCAATGTGTTCGCCGAGCGTTGCGTACTTCGTTGAGTATGCTTCTGGCCTAAAGCGTAATTGATGCTTCATTAATGATGGCTGACTAATGATAGGTGACTGTCTCACCTTGCGTAACTGGGGTTGCCAGATGGGCGGCCATGCTTCATTCCAGGGTGGCACTGGCCACCCCTAGCCATCCCTTGGCTTTGCCTCTATACAGTGAACAAAACCTATGGCTTTTTCAAATCTGAATCACCTTGATTTTCTCAAAGATGAAAGCTTTAGGTACTGTTTATTTGATGGAGATGTTTTGGTGGTATTTTATGGCTGTGATGAAGGGTGGTCTCTTGACTTTTGCACAGTACTGAGTTCACAGTTGGAGCACCAGAGGAATTAGCCTGGTTGTGGGGACGTTTCTGGTATATTGTTTTGATGGAGAGGAGTGGGGTGACACTTATAGCATGTTGGTCATTCTGATTAAATCCTGGTCTGCTCTCTGATGGTCTCATGGCCTGCCATTAACAGAAGGCCCAGTGCCTGACTCCATAATAAGACACTTTTACATATTCATGCTCTCATATTTAGCCTGTCTCCAGGGTGTGCTGCTGTCTCTCAGTCATCCATCTGTGTGTTTGTGTGTGTGTGTGTGTGTGTGTTTGTGTAAAGGGTGACTATCTCTGATGAATGCTGTGTGGATGGCAAAGACATTCATTTACCTCCAGCATGTGAGCGACACATGCCTTGCCCGCAAACGAGATGATCAAAGGAACACGTGCGCATACGGTCCTGCGCACACACACGTCCGCACACCCACTCACGTTCAACATGTCTTGTTTGTTTAGATTTACACCTCCCTAATGATACAACTGTGATACTCCGCTGGCTGCCAGCAGTCTTTTGCAGCATGTCACAGCAGAAATGTTAGCTGGTGATAGATAGAGGGTTGTGGCTATGTGCAGCCTTGACAGGCTTGCCTGCTCAGAGACAGCATAGAAAGAGGGAGAGCTCATGAGGACAAGGAACGAGTATTATTTCCTTTTCTCAAAAAAAAAAACGCCTTATATTTGCTGTCCCGCAACGAAAATAAACACAAGCTTTGCTGTGCTACAAATGCAAAGCGTGTTTCTAGCATTGTGTGTGGCTTGAATAATGGCTTGTAGAGTTGTAGTTCTTGACAGTTGGTAACAGCCTCCAGGCTTTGCAGGACCAGGCGATGTGTGAGTAGATTAGCTGAGATGATTCTGAAAACAATATACCTCTTTTTCTATACGTATTCTGCAACACGACAAGACTTACGAGTGCAACGCGCTACAATTCGCTATTCTTAACATTCATAAATCCTGCACTCACAGCTTAGACCCCTAACCCAGGTCATTTCTTTTAATCTGCCAACAGATTAAATTTCTTTTAATCTGTTCTTGGATAAGAAATTTTATAGAATAAGGGCCTGCACATCCAGAGTAGGAGCAATATGAAGTCCTTTCTGAGTTTCAGATTTTAGAGACCCAGAGAATTTCACAACCCATTTAAATGAAATAGGCAATCAGTACAAATTTTACCAAGGTAACTACACGAAGATTGAATATATTCCCCCAGTCTGTGCATTTGTGCATTTCTAATAAGGAACACAGAGTGTATAGAACACCTTGGACCTTCAGTAGCAGTTGTGTTGCTGTGATTTTGATCATGTTTCTCTATGTCATGAATATTTCCCTGTGGTGAACCTCTAGTTTGGATCAGTGAATTAACCCAGTGCTTTGTGTTTGGTTGGTCTACTTGTTTGTTTTTGTTCATGTGTGAGGTAATAGGTTGTCATTTTTCACCCTTTTTTTCTGAAGAGCTGAGGTGCTGGGTCTGTCCTTTCTCTATGATGCTGTGTTTTGACCTTTGTAATTGGTGTAAACTGCAGATTGTGCTAGCTGACGGGCACCGATAGTGTCCGATGCGCAGGGCTGGTACTTTGTTCCAGAGCATAGCTGAGTCTGTGCCTCCATTGTAGAAAAAAAAAAACCTGCCAAAGAGGAGCTTAGTCAACGAACAAAACACTGTTAAAGCTATTGGCTTATCAATGGAATATCGTGTGTGTAAAAAGTATATGAAACATGCCAGTGCAATCGCATAGTAGAAAACAGTTTTATATTTCCAGATTTGTGCCTGTGGCGGATTTTTTGCCATGTTCACATCCTTCACATCAGAAATAATGTTGGAGGCTATGGTACACAACAGACACACTTGAAGAGAATGAGCAGAGACAGCGTGCTTGGCCACCGCCAGCCGTGGGGAGCCAGCGGTGTCCTTTAGCGTTATTCTTCTCCCATGAGCAGAACAAGAACTCTTAGCCCTGTAGGTTAAGCCGGTATCCACCGTGCGCTGACCGAACTTCATTGTAACAGATCTAATAATGGCAAAGTGCTCCTCTGCTGGCTTTTCTAATACAAATTTTGAAAGTGATGGTGAGGGAGCTGGCTGCCATGTTATCTGTCTCCAGCACAAGATTCCAGCAAGCTCATGCTCCTCTGACAATCAATTTGAAGCAATTTTTAAACAAAACAGTCTCACATGGCGTCACTCTTGACTTTTTCAAGGCCATAGAACTTAGTTAGCCAGATTGATTTGTACTTGTATAGAAAATAACATTTTACAGCCTTTCTATGCTGGAGCAACGTATGAAGATCAGCACTTCGGCGCTGTGGCACGCCTGGCGGATTTGATTCATCACAGTGTACAAGCACACCAATAGTGTCCCACTTCGAAGCACGTGTAGAAGCTATAAAAGGCCACCATAGCTTCATAATGATGTCATGAAATTGGAGGGTAAGCTTGTGTAGCAAATCCACATCGTAGAGAAGTGTCCTAGTGTTAGATATTCATTCATCTGATAGATTGCTGTGCATAAACTAACATGTATCCATTTTCATAGAGTATTGCTTGTCATTTTTGAGCTAAGTTTCTATCTCAAAACTGTCAAACAGTGACATCAAAGTGTAGAAAGCGTGAATGTAAGAAGCAAGTACAGCACAGTACTAATGTGCGTGATGCTACAGTAATAGATTACCATCGCACCTAATAAGTCCCCTCTATTCTTAAGTGCAGATTATAACAGCATATCACATGGAAACCTTCACTCAGACTGGCATGGTTGCTGACAGCGCTCTGGGAAAACACAGGTTCATGCAGGTTTGTGCCAGCGGCTCCAGTCCAGTAGTTCAGTGCCTATATATGTGAGGTAGTGCCTCTACTAAGACTTCTCTAATAAAAGATTTGAGCATTGCTGTCCAGTCTTGTCTTGCTGTGTGCCTTTTCTTTGCCTCATCTTTTACCCTCTAATTTTAGTGGAATGTGACAGCAGCCCCGCAGTGCAACCCTGGACCATGAATGCAACTGGCCAGCTCACAGAAAAGTGACAAACGGATCCTGCTCAAATGTCACTGCCATTCATTATAGATGAAGTAGATGCCACCAAAACATCTTCAAATGTCGCAGTGGGCCCATGCAGGCGAAAATGATTTTCTTGCCTCGTTGCACTGCCTGTTACATCTTTGATTTATGACTCTATGGTCAAGCAGTTGTGCAAATAGAAAAAAAGGCCGGTTTTAACTATGTCATTTACATTAGGGGTCATTTTACAGGACAGATGGGCTGGTGCACTAAGCATAAAGCCAGAAATGTCAAATACTTGCACTGCAGGCATGCTGTCAGTGCATTTACGTCATTAAATACAACGCGCAGCCCGACAGTAAGTCAGTGAAGGTCTTTCATGAGCAATGTTTAATCCAGCACATAAATCACAGATGAACTGAGGGTATTGACTTTGACTGAAATGGTGTGCTTGACTCCGTATTTCTTTTGTCAGATGTTGACCTTTGAAGAATGTTAGCCCGATCACACTAAAAAACGCCAGCCAATTAAAGTGTTATCCAGATCGATCTCATCCATTTCTGAATTTCTCTCTTCATTAGACAGTGACAGGCTGTATGATCTGAACCATTCGAGCGTATACATTGTGTCATTCACAGTGAGTAAACTGAATTTCTTAACGCTGTTATTTCCCTTCTCTGAGAGTGTGAGAGAGAGAGACAGAACAGGGTATTTTTATTCGCTACCCTGGCAACTGGCTCTGACATTTTGGGAGAATTCAAAATCCTGAGCAATGGACAGTCTAGGCTACCGCTGGGCTTTTGTCATGACTGATTGCACACTTATGCCACTCAGGGTCTTGCTTTATGCAGACTGATTTTCAGTGAAAAGAAATGGGTTAAGTGTTTTCTTGTAAGGAATAAGGGTAGGGCTAATGTTAGATATTTACACTCATATTGTCAGATTGCCCTGCTTTTTATACAGGTTAATATGAGTTCTAAACTATTTTAGATCTTCATTTTAAAACTCTGTTCTCTAAAAGAATGTTCTTTGGGTGTAAGACCCTTATATTAAACTGATTACACCTTTAAAGCAAAAGACAAAAGAAGCATGACAAAACCCAGACCAAACCCATCTACCAACCACACGCTATGTCACAAGATACTCTATGAAGCACTGACATCTAGGGACATTTTAAAATATTACACCATGGGGAACCTTAGCAGCTCAACAGGTACTGAATTGAATTCTTTTTTGGAGTTCCACTGTAATTTGCTTGTAACTTCACAAACAGTTGTGAGAAAAACTAACTTCAGAAGTATCTGTATTTCTGCCCGAGTGTGATCTGATCTTCAATTCAAACTACATATCATTTCCAAAGTCATTTGTTTACTGAACACATGGTTTAAATCATCAAGGTCATATGTATAAAAGGTATGCAAACCCTTATATTTCATAACTAGTGAAACAGCCTTTCTTGCCACAAACTTCAGCCAAAGGTTTTCAGTAGCTGCTGATCTGTCCTGAGCAAAAGTGAGGAAGTATTTTTCACTCATTCCTCTGGACCAAACTGTTACAGTTCATGGGTTTTTTGTAGTTTGTTTGGGTTTTTTAACATGTCTTGTTTGAATGGCCTGCTTCAGGTGACGACAGTGTTTCAGTGGGACTGAGGTCAGGACGCTGACTTCTGAAACACTAATTGTCTCACTTTGAGCTGCTTTATTGTTGACGTACTCCAGTGTTTTGGAGCATTATTATGTGGCATAGACCAACAGATCTATCAGTGACCGCAAGTTTACCTGAGGCGACAAGTCAACGTCACAGTTATATACTACCTCCACCATGGTTCACTGTTAAGATGAGGTTTTAGTGATAATAGGTAGTGTTTTGTTTTCTCCAAACAAGACACTTTGTATGTTTACCAGAAAGTTCAACTTTTGACTTTTGGTCTTTAGTAAACTTGAGACAGGCAGCAATGTTTCCAGTTTCATCAGCAACCATGAACGTTTCAACTATTTTAGATGTAATATTTTGTCGTTGTTAAATTAAACTGTCTTTTATTTATTGTTATGATTTGATGATGAGATCACGTTTTAGGAGCCGATTATACAGACCTCCAGATGATTCCAAATGCTCCCAAACTTCTTCTCACAGCTGTACAATCCTTTTTTGTGGCCTATAATTATATCACAGTAATTAGTTTAGTGTTGAATGAGTACAGTATTGATTTATCTGTTTATCTATTGTCTGTCTGAGGCTTATGAGCAAAGATTAGCTGCTCTGAGCTAAAGAGACCCTTAACAGTGCTGATATTAAAATCCACTTATGAATGTGAATTATTCACCAGGGCTGTTGAGGGGAAACACACAGAGCGATTATTTTTCTGTCAGTCGGACCTGATGACTGCTGGGTGCCCCTGATGGTTGTTTGAAAATTCAGTGAATGGTTTATTTGCTGCTACACTTTATTTTAAGGGCATCCTAATTGGGGCTACTCACGTAACTGAATTCATGATTGACATAACATATTTACAGTTTCACTACAGTGTCGTATCACTCCCACACAAGGAAAAGATTTTTTATCAGCAAAAAAAGACAATTTACTGGTAAATATGCTGTTATTTCTCAGTTAAGCCAATGAGGCCTCCTTCCTATTTCTCCCGTTGTATTGGATATAATCCAATAAGGACATTACTTAATGTCTTTGATGGCCTTGACACTTCTAGGGTAAGAGAGCTTATCCCCATGAAGCTTGCAGTCAGCACAATGGAATAGGTCTGTGATGTGTACAGATCTCATGACCTGAGAAACACAAAAGTATATGGCACTTATATCATTTTCAAGAATCTCCGGAATCTCTGAAATTGCAGTCTTGAATCTCTTGTAATTGTTTTACAAGACAAGGAAGAAAATTCTTAACATTTGTTAATCTAACGTGATAAAAAAAAACTTCCAAAATGTTATCAATCTCAAAGTTAAGAACAGCTGAGTATATAATTAGGGTCCCACTTTATTTGGACAGCCCCTAGTAGAATATATATAGATTTTCCAGTTATTAATAAACTAATTGTTGGGACTGCTTCCCAACAGTATTGGGGATCAATGTTTGAATTACTTCTAGGGATTGGTTTAGAACCTGGAGTAAGGTTAGGTTTAGGTTTTGGAATGAGGTTAATGTTACAGGTAGGGCCAGGGCCAGGGTT